AGGCTTTTGCTGAAATACCTAAAAACTGATTTTTAGTGTTAGAGCATAACTAAGACTTTGTGTTATTTGAAACAGTCATAACTAATTTGAATATAACATGCAAAAGAAATTTTACAACAGCATTTCATTTGTATGAGCTGCATTTCCGTTGTTTCCTTCTTGTTTTTATTCATCTAAAGAGATTTTTATCTAATTGTTCTCCAGGGAAGGGATGCTGGAAATCCATTACTCTGGCAACATTTTCTGTCTGAGATATGCTTGACTATCACATTCTCCGTGTTGCCTTCTAATTAATGCAGGAATAGTGATTAATTGTTTGCCACCACAAAATAAAAAAGATATTTGAGTTTGGAAAAAAGCTACAAATACCATTCTTCATACTGTTTGAAATGATTTAAAAATCAGACTTTCACAACTGAGAACTGAGAACTAGATGATTTTTGTTGTCAGGCACTATGAAGACAAAGTTCTGATGTTGATGGAGATAAAGTGTTGCTTTTGCCAGGATGAAAGGTTTGGGTTGCTTTCAGGGCTTTTAGAGCTTTTAAAAACTTTTTAAAACAGGAGTGTGGAATTCAGGAATTATTTCTCTGTGACAATAACAGGAAAAAATTTCTGAATTAAGCAACTTCTTATTTATTTGAATAATAAAGCCCACAAGTGGTTCAGGTTACTTTAGGTTAATGCCTAGCTCTAATTTTGGACTTTTTAAAATACAGATATTGCCTTCTCTCTAGCCTGTGGCTTTAGAAATTTTACTTTTTGTGCTCTCTTTGGAGAACCAGGTGCTCTTATTTTAAAGTTTTTTTTTTTTCACTACCACAGGAAATTCTTAATTTGCCACCTAAAGCTTGGAGCCAACTTTCCCAGTATGAAACAGTTCAAGTTTTAAGTTCTGTGGGGGACTTTGCTCTTTGGACTGAATATTTTATAAAGTAGGCCCTTGTTTATCAGTTTTTGCCCAGAGACTTCCTCTGGGACTTTTGGAGAATTGAGCAGTGATCTTTGTGTCCTCGTTAACAGAATTATAAATAAAAAAGTAATATTGAAATGATGTTGACAAAGGCTTTCTGCTGTGCATAGCAATGAGGTGGAATCAATGGAAATTGTCTTTGTTCTAGAGAAGTTTGAATGCAGCAAAGTTAGGAACTGAATTGATTGCTTGGAGCTGGGAGGAAGTAAACACAGATTTTTTTTAGTGCTTACCAAGGTGAAAGTTTTATGGCCATTTAGGCACAAGTCAGAAAGCTTCATCTTAATTAACATGAATTAATTGCTATTCTGAGATTTTGGGAGAAGGAGCAGGTCCAGCCAGGGTTTTGTTCTTGGATGGTTGAGACGTTTCTGTGCTTCGTTCCCACAAACACAAAACCCACTGAAATCCTGTCTTTTTGCAATGAATGCAGTTGTGTTCCATAATTCTGATTGTTAATGATCATTTCAGGTCCTAATGGCACAAAGGAGGAGGAAGAACCCTCCTTGCTCCAAGACAGCTGAGAATCCACTGTGGCTTCCTTTGTTTGGGTTTTTTCCTGAGCTGTTCTGCCAGACTCTGAATGATGAGGCAATTTGCTTTGTAATGAGAAGGAAATTCTCACACAGAGCTTTTTATGGTATTTTATTAGGGAATCTTTAAGCTTTTCAGAAGCACATGATCTTGTGTACACAGATAAAGTTGGGCTCCTGCTATGGCTCTTGGCTTCTTTGGGTTCTGATTTGGGTAGAGTGAAGTGTATTGCAATGAAGAGTTCTGCAGGTTTGTTTTGTTTTTGCAAAGGCTTCCAACAGGAGGAAAAGATTAGGGATATAATTGTGATTCATAATTATCTGTGTATGCTCCAGAAGTCTTGGCTGCTGTGCAGTCACAGAGATGCATTATGGATGGAGTGAGTGATGAAATAGTTAGCATGTGTTTACACCCTGATAGCAGGTGAAAATAGAGCTATCAGTGGAAATGACTTAGTGCTATTAAAGCTGAATTTCTGTCTTCAGTTAATAAGTTCTGTTTGCATTGCCACAGTTCAATTCAAAGAATGCTCCATTATGAATGAGCTGGGAGATTAGAAACTGAGAGCTCTTGTGCATCCTTCATTAAAGATGACACCATTGACTCAAACTTTCTCTTCTAGCAAGTTAAAACAGAGATTTAGCCTGCTGGTTCCTCAAGCCAGAATCCTTCTCTGCAGTGCTATGCAAGAAAATATGGTAAAAACAAGCTTCTGAATAAAGCACTTTCTGCTACTTGAACAAGCACCTTTAACTTGCTAGGGAAAAAATCTGATTTTTGGTTTGGCGTGGTGAGAGTGAAACCAAGTTTAGAGTTTTTAAATGAGCACTTGGTAAAGCTTCTCAGGAAAACTGTTGGAATTAAGGATTGCTGTTACACAAAGCTGACACACCTCACATTCCTCACTAATTTTTTCATGAAATAGTGTTGGCACATCTGGCTGTGCTCCCCTGGAATTACCCCATTGGCGGAATCACTGCATTTCAAGGGGATGTTTTAAACTGCTGATATATTAGCTGTAGGAAGGTTGGATGAAGCACATAGAGAGTGACAGTAGCTGTGTTAATATTGCATGCTCTATGACTGGGAACTATTGTCTTTACAGCTCTGCCTTGTCTTCTTCAGAATTAAGCACAGCTGAAATCCTCAATTCTCTCTTGGCTCCCCCTGTTCATCTGTCTTGCTGACATCCCTTTGTCTTGCAGGCCATCCGTTAAAGATATTTCTTACTTGCAGTTTGGTACTTAATAGATAAAAAATAATAATGTTGAAATTACACTGTCTATTTCTAAAGGGGTGCTTTAAAATATCTCCTCTCAGTAGCAGCACTGGGGTTTTTTAGTGCTTGCTGTTGTTATTTGTTATGTGAGTGCAGCATCAGTGGAGAGCTGGGAGCTCTGTCTCTGCAAATCTGGAATTGCCCAAGTATTTTTCTTTATTTCAGACTTTTCGGTCATTTTTGGGTTTGTATTACATAACGTAAGGTTGTTTTTAAAGGATTCACTGAATTAAATTGTACATTTATATGTATTTCTTTGTGGTGAGTTGCTCACGACAGCAATCTGCTGACTCTAAGGCAATTTGTGTTTTTCTAAAATTTTTAGACTGTGCTCAATAATTCAGTAATGTGCCATTATTACCTATTTAATGTATTCTTGCCATTAAACTTTCATTTCCTTTTGTGCAGTTAAATGTCACTGAAGACTGAACTGCACCAGGTTTATCTTGAGATGAGCAGCTCAACAGTCCAAGCTTGAAATTCTAATCAAGCAGGCTAAACTTGTTTTCAATAAACTGAGAATGAGGTGTTGCCACTGCTGTGGCACTGTATAGGCAGATATTCTTTCAAAATCTTGATTTTATAAATTAATATCCATCACTGAGAGGGTTTCTGTTTCTAAATGAACTTCAGGAGCTGCCAGCTTTGCTCTTAGGCCACCAAGGCTTTCGTTGAGAGGATTGCTTGGAAAATTTGATATTGATCAAGTTTTCAATCATACTTTTAAGAACCAATTTTTAACTGTTTATTTATGTACTCCCCCTTCATTAAAATGGCCACATCCAGGTGGAATGTTTGGAATATTATGGAATACTTTCCTTTCCAAAGGAAGGTATTTTCAGCTCTGTCTGTAGCTCAGCAGCACCCAGGAGCTACAGAAACACTGTGAACAGAGCATCCACCTGAATTTCCATGCTTTATTCTGCAGTTTGCTGCCTGTTTTCTGCAGGATCCCTTCTGGATTTAGTCTAATCTCAATAATAATTATTTTTTCAGGATTTCTCTGTGTGGTTTGCAGCTGGCTGTTGTTCTGCAGAGGTGTGTGAGCAGAGCTGGGACTCGTGCAGGTCTGGGCAGAGCAGAATTCTCGTGGAAGGAGCTGCAGGGTTTGTGTGGCTCAGGGAATTTCTGGTGTCCTTTGTGCTTCCATCAGCTCAGCCCACTGTCAGCAGAGCTGCTTTAATCCTGCAGCACATGTGCTTTTCCCAGTGATTTGTCACTTTGTGCCTCCAAACAACCCCACAGAAGAAAAGAGCAGACTAAATTGCACTTGCTTTGAGGCAAACCAATATTTCCTTTAGTAGCTTGCACCCTTCCTCTATTTGCAAAATAATTGTCTTTTTTTATTTTTTTTTCCACCTAGGGGGAAAAAAAATATCACCACGTTTTTCTATTTAAAAGCATTTTGTCAAACTTTTAATGATGGCTGCTGGGATCTCAGCAATCTCAGTCTCATTTCTAGGCTTCCTAAAAAAAAAAAAAAAACCAAAACCACAAGACTTCTGTTGTTCCATGGTGTTTTTTCTCACTAATAATTTCTCAAAGCTGTTTGTCAGTTTGCTGGGACGGGTGGGTGGATATTTCATTTTTGTAAGTTGGGTGAAATTATAGAGTTGAGATTTTGCCTCAAAAAGTGAATCCAACACAGGCAGCCTGAGGCATGAACTGTGTGGCTGGGCTGGAAAGAATCCACAGAGAAGAATTTTGTAATAAAAGGCAAAGAAAATGAGATGTCATACTGTATAATTTTGTCATTGGTGGTTATGCACGTTTTACCTATAAAATATGTGTGTGAGGTGGGGGATGTGGCTTCACTGGGGCAGTGAGATCATAGATTCTCACAGCAAACTAAATTTCACTGTGTGTTTTCATAGAATTCCTTCTATAAAATTGTTCATCTCTTCAATTAAAAAGGCCTACAGTATTTAAAAATTTTATAGAGCAAGTTTTATTCTCTGGCAGTGGCAGATCTTCACCATTGGAAAGGGATCATTTAATAGAAGTGTTGGTATGAACACTATATGGTGGTATTAATACTATTACTAATAATATTAATTTATAAAAACATCATATTTGGAAGAGCATTTTGCACATTTGCAGTTGTACCCTTTGTACTGAGAGCTCTTTCCTTGTGTACTATTTCCTTTATTTACTGGGTTTTTTTATTCCTTTATTTGTGCTGCATTTGAGTCATTTTCCTTGACAAAAGCTCACAGCTTTGCTGAGAGTGCCCGAGAACAATATGAAAAACTGTCCAACATGCACAACAACATGACAAAATTGTATGAAAATTTGGGAGAATACTTCACCTTTGATCCCAAGGCAATAAGCATAGAAGAATTCTTTGGTGATCTGAGCAACTTCAGAACTCTGTTTTTGGTGAGTAATACCTGCAAAATATTACATATTTTCTTACAGATTTTTTTCTCCTAGTTTTAATTCTTTCCTTGTATCTATTTTTTTGGTGTTATGCTTAATTTTGTGTTTTATTCCATGGCAAAAAATTGGGTGAAGGTTTCCAGAATTATTTAGATTTTGCTCATATTGTCCTCCAGTGTGTAAGTTGACAGCTCAGCTGTGGATAAGGTTGAGCAAAATTTAAATTTAACTCAACTTTGATATTTTTGCAATGTAATGAATCAGTTTTAATGGACCAGGGCAAACATTAAAAGTTCACAGTTAGGGATGGTTTTTTGGGGCAAAAAATTTACAAAAAAGAATTAAGATTTTCTGCAACATTTCGATGCTGGCAAGAAGTTTCCCCAGAGGAAAAATATGCTGAAATTCCTTAAATCTGTGGGATTTACTAAGTACTGATAAGAATTCAGGAGCAATCAGATAAGACTGGGGGTAGAGAACATCTCCAAGCATCCCTGGAGCGTGCACACGTTTGTCTGTGTTACATTTGTCTGCTCACGTGGCTGTAATTCCTCCCCAAATTCTCTCAGTGCTTGGGTGATTGGCTGAAGTGTAATTCCAGATATTTTATAACCATTCATGGCTCATTTTTTTCCTCTTTGCCATTCTTTTATGTTCTTGCTAGTGGCTGTCTGTTGGATAAAGCTCCTTTCTTGTGCCATGATTTTAGATGTTCTAAAGTCCTCCAGGTTGCTGGAGTGTCACAGGAATTCACTAAAGCATTTCCACAGGATTTTCCTTTGCCAGTAGAACTCCACTCAAATTCCAGGCTGGAGAATAAAGAAAACACAACAAGGTGTATTCTCTTGGAGCTGCCAACTGCAGAGAAACTGAATAAAAAGTAGCAAGAAGGATGGTTTGTTGGGTTTTCTATTTTCCCTCCTTGCAGTTAAAGATCCACTGGACAATAATGCTTCTTTAATATTTAAAACTCTTCTGAAGAAGAAATATTTTTTAGATTTTTAGTCGTTTATTCAATGGAAAGCAAACACAAATTTCCATTGTCCTTGAGGACAACTGCAACCTGATGCAACATCGAGCCCAAAAGGATCAGGCTCTTATCAAATAATGATTAATCAGTTGCCTGGAGCAAGAGTTTGTTCTTTTCCATTTTTTTCCTTAAACTTGCTGTCTCACACTCTTTATCAAGTGACCTGTAATGTTTTCAGGCTGTCACATTCTGAATGTTTATTTGTGTTGGTGGCAAAGGATTTAAAAACACCCACCAAATCTGTCATGCCTACATCTGTAAATGGACATAAACTTCCTTTCAGGCTGATTGTGCTGTGGAAGTTGTATGAAATATGCACCTCAGCATTAAATTGGAAAATTTCCTTTTTTCTTTTTTTTTTTTTCCTTTTTTCTTAAAATTTCTTGGTTTTTTTCTTTTTCATTTAAAAACCCAATTTTTAAATGTTTAAATTTTGTTTGCTCTCTGGGCTTCCTTTTTATGCAGATGGTCTTAAAGGTGAATTTTAAGTCTAAAAAAGCAAAGTTGTTTTTGAAGCAGGAAAAGGGATTTTTGGGTCTAGTTGCATGAAATGCAGAGAGGCTGTTTTGTTGAGTGGAGTGGTATTTTTTTATCTGGTAGACAATTTTATCAGTGGTGACTGCTTCCCTCACGTTGGTGTAAATGCAGCTCTTTGAATAAGGAATTAAATCTTAAAATACATTAAAATGTACTTAGAGAGCAGGGGCTGTGTTCCAGTTCCAGGCCGTGTTTAAGCAGATGTGAGTGGCTGATCAGGTGGCAGAATGAGAGATGGCTTTGGTAAAACACCAGTGAGATAAATTGTCCTTTTGTATCAGCACTGCTGTTGATGGATGGCTGCTGTGTGCCCTGCACTGCAGCGTCCCCAAAGTGAAAATCTCCCCAAAATGAGGAGGCACATTCAGGGATCAGCACACTGAACACTTTTTATTGGTGCCCACCGCTCTGGGCTCCAGGATTTTGTGAGATTGATGCCCCGAGCCAGACAGGACAAGAACATCTGTTATGTTGCCTTCACACCAAACAGGTTTTCCCACAGTGGATTCGGTGTCCTGGGTATAAATGTACCTGTAAAACCCTTCCTTCTTCCTGATATTTGTTTGTTTATTACTTGCTCCAAAGGAAGTTTCAAGCTCTGTGACTCAGGAGTGGTTTTTGTGGTGGCTTTTTTCAAGTGTCCCTGGAATGCAGCAGGTCATTTGCTACAGAAATACAACTCAATGAATCTGCAATACATAAATAAATACATAATAAACATCTGATTTACCATGAAATACAGCGCGTATCAGGCTAAATTCCCAGCTTTCAAACTCATAAATTGAGTTTGTAATTCAGGAGTGGTTTAAAAGAAAGGCTCTATTTATTCATTGTTCTCCCTGGTTATTTGTCTGGGAATACACTTCATCCCTTCTGCCTAAAAAGTAACAGTTCTTTAATGCAGCCTGAAAGATAACAGTTTCCAGCTAGCGGGAAGCTGGGAAAAAATAAAGAATAATGAGCAAGAAGTATTTTCTTCAGCGAAATTTCCCAAGAGGTGGTAGCAGAAGTGAAACACTGTCCTTATTAACAGGCAATATACAGCAAGCCCTTCCTCCCCCTGCCCCAAACCCGAAATACAAACCTTTTTTGAGCTCTCAGTTCTTACCTGAGTGTGTACATTCAGCTAGTGCTGAGCAGAATGGGTTTTAATCATTATCCTGAACAAATGGGGAATTGGGGGTGGGCTAGGAAAGGATGCAGGTGGTGGAATTCACATAGGAGCAGTAACTCAGTTTATTTACAAGGGGTTAGTGCTGCTAGATAAGTGCTTTATTCATGATGTAAAACACGAGGATGGAATTTCTCTTGGAAGCTCCTCAAAAGGTGTAAAAATAACTAATAATTTAAAAATAATAAACTGAGTTCAAGTAAACTGTGTTGGTAAGTGTAGAACCAGCTGCCTGGTTGGAGTTGGGATTTTTTTCTGACCCAGGTTGTTTCTCCCATTTGTGGATGGGGTAAAAACTCTGGATGCCATATTTCAGGGTAGAGATGCCATTGATTAGGGAATATTTTCAAAAGTTATAGGAAGAACATGGTCCAGATAAAACCGTGAAGTCAAATTTCCTGATCTTGAAAGGAACAGTATTTAAAAGTTTTCTTTAGTTTTTGTTCTGTTTTATATTCAGTGCTGGTAGCAGCGAGTCCAACTGAGAAATGTCATTATTTCCAGGCATTATCTTTGGAAGTTTGTAATATTTAAATGAGGATTTTGAATCCTCATTCCACTCTAAAAGCAAGGCATAGTTTGGGATTTTGGCTGAGGCAGAGCTTAAGCTGTTGAAAAGCTCCTGTGAAGCAGTGCCTTCATTACCTGCTCTGAGCGAGCCCTTGGGGCTGATCTGAGGCCAGGAGAGACCCTTGCACGGAGGATGTGTGCAGGCTGCAGATGCCAACATCTGCACTCACACATTGCTGAAAAGCTCTTGTGTTAAATGAACCTGACTTCTCTACAATCTCCCCAGTTTTGTTGTTTCACATATGTAATCTTAGCCTCATCATTCTGTTTGTTCCTATACGCCATTAGGATAATTTGATGATTGGAATCCGTGTTTGTCTTAATTGTGATTTCAGATTGATCACTGCATTATTGCAGCTTCATTTTGCGTGCTGATGTTGGAGTCAATTACAGCTCATTCACTTCCTGAAGTTCCTATTTGCTTGCCTGGCACGTGTAGGGAAATCCAGGCAGGCAAATGGAGCTGGATAATCCTGTCAGAACACAGAGTGGAGCGTGAAGTGGAAGGTGTAAGAAACCTCAAGTTAAAAGCTGCAGCTGTGGGAGCGTGTCCCTGCAGTGTTGTTTTTTTCTACATTTGTTATTTCTTTGCAGTGTAATGCCACACACCCTCTGCAGTGCCTCCTTCCACACTCCACCAACCATGTCTTCCAGGAACTCTGCAAAATCTTTCCAAGCCAGGCGTTTTTATTTCGTTATTTAATTGCATTTTGTCCTTATATAGAACACTGGTGTAATTCTCACAGTCTCTTTTAAAACGTGTCAAGAATTTCTACCCAGAAACTTTGAAACCTTTCAGCAGGTCACATTCAAGGTCCTGCTATTAAAAGGAGTAATTCACTTTTTCTACTGGATTCAGGCCCTTGTATGAACAGTTCTTACTGACTTAGCTTAGAATGAGTTTTTGTTAAAAAGTCTAAAGGATTGTGCCCACATGATGATGTGCCAAAATACTGATTTGTCTCTTCCTTGATCCAGAAAATTGCTTTTGGAGCAAAACAATAATTGTTCTGTCCTGGGCGTTGGTTTCTCTTTTAGGGTTGTACCCAAACAGACAACATTTGTTTTCCTGGTGTTTTCAAGTTGTGTGTTTTTTGTAAAGACCATGCCACAGCTTTGTTTTTGTGTGTGGAAGCTCTGTCAGGAATAACCTGAACGAGGTGAGAGTGTTTATTCTGCTATCCAAATATTGATGGACAGGAGCAGTTAAACCAGCCCCAAACCTGTCCATTTGAGCACCATTAATAATTATTCCAACTTCTACAGTCGAGTAATTAAGTGATGCCACCACTGGGGTGGCCCTGCTGCAGGAGCCACTGTCCCAACCTCTCCTCTCTGCTGCCCTGCCACCCAGCAGGAATTCAATTTGTCTGCTCTTGTTTAATGCCAGCTCCTTACATCTCTTTTCCATTATTTTCACGGGGATAACAATGTATTTAAATGTGTTATCCTCCCAGGAACACCCCTGGAAGATCTCCCTGTTACATGTCAACTGATTGCTCAATCTGCTGTATTTTAACTCTGAATTTCTGTAGATTAACTTCCAGATAATCTGACTTCTGGCTGAAGGAGATTATTTTGCTGGAAGTTCAGCTGACATATTTTGCAGTTGCAAGGCAAATTTGGGGAAGGCCTGAGGGATCAGAGGCAGCCCTCATTATTGGTGCATGACCGCTTTGTAGCCAGCTGCATCTTTAATATCCAGGGAGATTTGTGCATTACAGTTTGTTTGCTTTCTTCTGGTTTTTAATAATTTACCTCCGAGAGTCTATTTACAACCGTGTCGATGTGTGAATATGTTTGTCTGTCAAAACTTAAGATATGTGCAGAATGCAAGAGATGCATTAATTTTTTATTTGCTTCTTAAGGAAGCCAAGCTGTAAACTGGCAGTGCTGAGTACCAGAGCTGCACTTCAGTGAATCCTAATAAACACAAGGGGGAACATCAAACTCTGTGCTTCCTCAACTAACTCACTTAAAAAGAGATAATATTCCTTGCTGAATCTCCTTGCTCTGCTAGGAGAGACAATAATTCAGTTTTGGTTTTATTATAACAAAGGAAACCCACTCAAACTTTCCCTAACTTTTAATTTGCTGTTGAATTAGCAAAACTGCTTGCCCTTATGCACCAACCAAAATAACAGAGGGTCATGAAAAGCACATCAATAAAAGGGTTTTATGCATTTAAATATTTCAGCCTGCTGAGATTCACTCAAAAATTATTTTCCCTTTTGCATGCACTTACATGTTTTCAGAAGACAGCATCTAGATGAGTACTTTTCAAATGTGTTCTCAAGCTGTTGAGAAGGCTTTTATTCTTACCAGAGGATCATTTCTTTGTCTGATTTCTGGCTGTTAGATTAGTTTACTTTTAGTTGGAGAATAAATTTAGTTGTCTAGTAGATCCCTGTGAAGAGCAGCAAGTTCTTTGTCGCTGTGGAACTGTATTGCAGTATCAAAACTGCTGATTTTTATTCCCTCTTTTAAACACAATGCCAATTACAGAGCTATTTTTATTTTTAGTCTTCAAACTGATCTTTACCTTGTGAAGTAATTTAGCCTGTAAAACTACACAGAAAGGGGATCACTGGCATTTGATAGTTGAAAAAAACCTGCTAATCTGGAATAGCACTGTTCTGTTTTAGAAGAAATCCACTGCAACTCAAATGCTTGCAAGAGAAAAGGTCTGGGGGAATCTAAAAGCATGCCATGAGAGAGAAAAATAACCCTTTGCCATGCAACTGTAGGAAATGGAACTGAAAGGATTGATGTAATTCAGGCAGAGCAAATGCTGTAGAAACCACTGTACACCTGAGTCAAAATTCTCTTTATTTACATTAATCATCTGTCAGTTTTGAGAAACTGTGATCAAATTTGTTAGCAATATTAATTTAAACATAAAGTATGCTTATAAATATAGATGAAAATAGATTTATTTTGCTTTCTGCACTGACTTTGATAGCAGGTGGGAGTATGTTCTTGCCAATGATTTATTTCCAGCTTTCATCTAACTCTAAGTGTGTAGCAGTAAATGACATAACAAATATGGAATGGTCAAGAGTCCAACTGCCTGATGGAGGGGAATAACAAGCAAGTCCATTCCAGGAGGTGGATGGGTGTAAATAGATAAAAAGGGCTACTCTCACACAGAGTTATCAGTATTTTATTATCTTGCTGTTCTTCAAGAAGATTAAACCCTTTTTTTTTTTTTTTTTTTTTTTTTTTTAATGGCTTTTTGGTTTTTTTAATCACCACTGGTATCCATTGTTTTATGAAATGCAGCCTGAATCTTCCTGCAGATAGAACTCATACATTTGGTTGCTCAAGGAGAATTTATTCTCTTGTGTTTTCTGAATTTTAGACATCCAGACTAGCTATTTCAACAAAAAAAAATTTGATGAATTATATTTAAATTCTAGCACTTGAGTTTCAGCCACTTTGTAATTGAATTTCCATCCTAGTGGACACTTGGTTTCCTCCCCACTCATCCCTCCTGAGAGGATGGCACAGGTTTAAAGTAGACTTTCAATCTTAATAGGGAAAAATACAAACGTGTTGCTGCGGATTTTTCTTTTTTTCCCCTTTCATGATAAATACAAAGGTATTTCAGTTTCCATTGCTCTGATCAATAATTTCCACATGTACAAATAATGTTGTGTTCCCTCCAAGGTTTTGGGTCAAGCCCCAGGTTTTTCCTCCTGTGCAAAGCAGGTTACTTTGGTTTTCCTCAGTGGACAGACACTCCCATTCCTTTCCTCTCATGCAGGAGGCATTAAAAGAAAACAACAAAAGAAGAGAACTGGAGGAGAAAACCAAGAGGGCCAAGCTGGCCAAGGAGAAGGCAGAGCGCGAGAGGCTGGAGAGGCAGAAGAAGAAGCAGCAGTTGATTGATATGAACAAAGGTAAGGCAGCATTTTTAGCTGAGAGATTCTCATTAAAAAGGCAAAACTAAGGAGTAACAAACTGAAGGCTATTTCTGATTAATATCAGAACTACTTGCGGATGGTTCTGAAAGCTGGAAAAAGTTCACTTTTCAAAGTGGAAAATTCTCTTTTGTTTCAGCCTACCTGGTCATGTCATTCCATTTCTTCCACTTAATGTGTGCAATGTTCCTTTCAAGGCGTGCTGTTGTGAATTATTGGCTTTTTTGCATTTGAAGCACTTAATTGATTTTTTTTTCCTTATGGATTGAATTCCAAGAAGAAGTGTCTTCCTTGCTTTGTTGTTAATTTCATTCTGTAAACATCTCTGTAATCAAGGTATTGTGGCAATTAATGTCTTTATTTTTGGGCTTGGGGGTCTGTGTTAGGATGGATGTTCTCCCAGTAGTCCTATTAGGGGCTGGAAAATCTAGTTGAGCTCGGAGCCTGAGTACAGAGTGACATTTCAGCACGATAAAAAGCAATGTGTTGAGCTTGTCAGCTGGGAGAATATTGCATTTCACATGAGACCTCTGTGACAGAGAGGCAGGTAGGGAAGCAGAAGGAATGGGATGGGCTTGATACTGATGTTGTGCACATTTCCAGAAGGCTGTAAAATAGAGGCTTTATTCCTTACCTGACTCCAGAAGGCAAGTAGAGGTAGGATTGGATTTAGGCAAGAGATAATTTGCAGTTTTTTGTTCAGTTTCTATGAGTTTGTGTTAATCTGCTAATCTGCCCCAGCAATAAAAACACCTGTCCTTGTTATCCATTTAACAGCCCTGCTCAGGGCTGATTGCTGCAATGGTACCACAAATCCTGTTATCTCTGGCCTTGCTTGAACTGGCACTGCATGGGATGTTCTGTACCAGAAATTCTTTTCTACACATGACAAACTTTATTATCAGATCATTTCAAGATTAGTCTAATTTCAGCGTAGCTATAAACAAAATGTAAAATTTAAACAAAGGGGGATGCATAAATACATCTTTTCTTTATGAAGTTAAACCAGTGAAGGTTTCTAATGAGACTTTTCTAATCCATTCTTTCAGCATATGATTAATATTTCTTTAATATCTGCCACCTGACAAACAAAAAGTCCATGGTAATAAGGACAGGCATTTCTGAGAGTGGGATGAGAAGCAGTTAAACATCCCTTCAGCACCCCACCTCTGCCAGATGCTCAGGAGGTTTATTTCAGCTGCCATGGGGCTCTGAATGTTTGGTGAGCTGGTGGAAGGTGAGGAAAGCCCCCAGGAGCCTTTTCTGGGCTGTGCTGGGGGGCTGGAGCTCTCTTGGAACAAAACTTCTGCAATTCCTCAGCTCAGTCCCGAGAGCACACCTGCATTTGCTGCATCCCTTCCCTTTCCAAGCAGGTGAGGGGCCACCTCTGAGCAGTGGCACAAATCACACTGACAGCACTCTGCTTTCCAGCATGAAAGCCTTTTCCTATTAAATGATACAAGTAAAGTTCGATTTTGCATTGTAGTCCTCTCTCAATGAAAATGCAAATATATGAATGTCTTTACATGGCCCAACGCACCAAAACTGCCATTTAAATAACTAATGTTTGGAAACCTGTGACACAAAGTTAGTTTAATACTTCTAAAATATTTTTTTCCAATTTGTAAATATTTTAAAACATCCATTTCATATATTACAGCTCTGCTGCTGTGGTAGGAGGAGGGCTAAGCCTCCATCCCCAGTGGATTCCATTGCATTGATATTCAATTGACTATTTTTGCCAAATAACTAATTTTTTTTTTTTTTTTTTGATGCAGCTACTTCTGTGTGCTCATTGCTGCTTATATAAATAGTTTGTAAATTTGTCTAAGTGAATGTGACACAGCAGGCTTAGAGGAAAGAGGCAGATGTCCTCTCAAGCTGTCACTTGGACAAGGTGATTCTCACCCAAAGGCTCATTTTAACCTCACCCCCTCTCAGCTCTTTCTCTGCATCTCTTAGAGTCAAATTTGATCTCAGTGCTGCAGCCTTGGAGGTCAGAGCAATTGAAGCATTTCCAGCTTCTTGTGCAGTTCTAGAAGTATTTTTCCTGTTTTCTGACTATTCAGTGACCACTTATTGTGGTCACTGGAGGATCCAGATTAGGTTAGTTATAATTTACTAAAAATTAATATCTGTTTCTTGGTGTTACTATAGAAAACCACAGTGTGGCCAGAACCAAGAATTGTTCTGAATATGCCCTAGTGGTGAAGTAACTCAGGCTTTGCCACTATTTTGAAGACCACTTTTCTCAGTTTGGTGGTTTTGTGCTTTGTGTAACTGAGCTGCCACGTAAATTACATCTATTACATGTAAATGGATAAAAAAAACCTGCTGAACATTCCAAAATATTTAAAGATGTACGCAAAAATATATTTAAAAAATCTCTATAAAAAGGAATATTCCAAAAAGTTATCAAGATTGGTAGCATTAGGTGAAAATCCCAGGTTACCTGGTGAGGTTTGGAGGCACAGGAAGGTTTGTGCCTTGTGCACACACCCACAGAGCTGCAGCTTCACAGCTCCAATCATGAACAATTTTTCTCCTAATGGGAGATGAATTGGGAGGAGAAGCCTTTCATGACTTGCACCTGATCCAACATCTGCAGAATTCTTGGAGCATTGCTTCTGTGTGCTTGTCTGAAGTAGAGAGAGAAGAAGAGTTGGAGAATTCAGCTTCAAGGTGTCTACCTGCAATTCTGATGCAAATGTTATTTAATCAGAAACAGTCTTGCTCTTCATTATATCTGATTACCATGGCAATTAAAATCACCTTTTAACTACCAGTATTCGGATAAAAGATAGAATGAGCTTTCTCAGTCCCAATTAGGGTTGAATTAATTGTTTTGAAGACCTATTAACATTCTCCCCTAATGCAGATGAGGATAATGCAAGTGCAGTTCTGTGCTGGAGGTTGATGGATATTCCTGCTTTCCCTTTCCAAGTATCCCCACAGAAGATTTCATGGGTTTTTTATTCAGACTGGTGTGTTCTGTTTCCTTGAGCTGGTGTTTGATTTCTCTGGTGCAGGATATAATTCCAGGGGTTGCTTTTGCTGCAGTTTTCTAATGATTTTCTGCTTTTGTGGTTGGTTTGTCTTCCTTCCACGTCCTTTAGCATAAACAGAAATCCATACCGAGCTTATTATGAGTTACATGTTCTTTTGTAAATGTCTTTTTGGATTCCAGTATTGGCTGGTGATTGTATGGGGTACCTGGAGTGGTAAATCTTGGGTCTTATTTATATTGTAAAGATTATTAGTTTGTGGTGCTGGATGTCAATGAGGCAACTGTTCAAATTCCTGTGGGAAGTCATTATTTTTCATATTGACGTTGATGGTCTGTTTGAATATGCTGCACACCTCCTGAAACCTGATATTCACAGAACAAAAAACAGATTGAGCTTTGCATTAGGCTTAAAGGTGAGCAGGTACAGGTTTGAGTTTTCCTTCTCAAAGCAATCCTGCAGGAATTACTAAAAACCTTTGTGAGATCTGTTTGTGCAGGAGTTTAACGTGGTCCTGAGAATGGGGTGAGTGTCAGAATTACTGAACTGCTAAATGGGTCAGGAACAGCTGAGGAGAAATGCAAATGGATGGGAGAATGGACAGAAGTTAGAAAGAAATTACAGCTTGAAATTTAATCTCACCTTTAAATTTTTTGCTCTGGAAAAATTTGGTTTTGATAATGAAGATGGCCCATATGGTACCTTCTGATTGAGTTTATTGGGGGGAAAATTATTAGACTGAAAAATCTCTGATTGGGATAATTGCAGGGAAGAAAGAAAAACTGGATTCTTTTCCCTTAAAAGTAGATTTCTTAGGGACTATTTACTGAACAGTAGCAAGTTGTAACTTCAGGGAGTTTTCTATGCAAATTCAACTTTTCCTTAGAGAAATTATTTGTGTTTCAAAAAGTAGGTGCTGTTATTAATTTTGAAAGTAGCCTTAATTTTGTTTATCTCAATTTAACTGCTGCATAACAGGTGATATTTTGTAGAACTTGCAATGTTAAAAAGCATTGCAGAAATAATTATTGATCAGCATTTCTATGAGTTTGTTTCAGGAATCAGGGTGGGATGGGCTGAGGAGCAGCAGAACCCTTGGCTCTGTGTGAGGGCTGCTCAGTGGTAAGAAAAACCCCCCTGAATTATCAAATTTCCAGTTCCAAAACACAGCCCCCACCAGCTGCTGGGAGGAAAATTCACCCTATCAGTCAAAACCATCATCAATATTAAATCAAAAAAGAAAGCAAAAAGTCATCAAGAATGTGTAAGAACTCCCCTTTCCTCGAAATGTGTTCCCAAAACTCCTTTTTTCCCCTAAACTGTTCGAGCAGTTGTTCAATAGGAAGGAAATTATTAACAATGATCAGAGCATTGATGATTTGTTCTGCCTTACGTATCTGCTCATCACAGAAATTAAAAGTAGCTCAGTACTGTAATTAAAATATAGCCTGGGACCTGCAGCAGAACTTTATTTACAGGTGTCATTACTGAGGTATCACATGGGATTTTTAGGGTGGTTTTGTTTTGTTGTTTTTTTTTTTTTTTTTTTGTGAGCTGCACAATCTTTTTTTTCCCACACAGAGGCAATCTCTTCCCATTTGTCCCAGATAATTCCCATTACAGCCTGTTTGAGGTCTGGTCCTTGCAGGAAGAGGCTCCAGGGGCCATGTGGGGGCATCTCAGTGAGGTCACAGCAGACTTTGACCACTGGGACATTTTCTCCCAATAAGTAAAAAAATGTGCATTTCAAACATTGTTTTCAATAGCCTGCCTGTACAACAAAGCACTTTTTTTTTTTTTTCTTCTTCTATTAATTTATTTAAGCCTGAGGTCAGGTTCTCAACAACAATATTCTTAATTGGTGTGTAAACAAGGCTTTGCCTTGTTTTTAAACTGACATGAGCTGGGGGTTCACTTCTCACTCACACTGTCCTAACTTGTTCTCCTCTAATTAAAAAGTAAATAAGAGGCACGAGACACCACTCTGCTGCAAGCTGCAGAGCAGGGCTGCTTCCTGGAGATATTTATTATGCATGCAAAATGAATTTAGCAAATGAATAAAATGCAAATATATGAGGAGAACACAAAAACACGCTTTCCCAAAGACATTGAGAGCTGACCTTTTTAAGTGGAATATATTGTAATTAAAAATTCTGGTGCTGGTTATGAATAAAAAGTCTTGTTTAAAAGTTTCTACAGGACACACATTAGACTTGGAAAAGTGCTTATAAGTTCAAAGCAAAACAGGGGTAGTGCAAGACGTGAACAGAAGCATAATTTTTAAACCCTTTGGAGGCAGCAGGTGTTACCTAACGTGGTATTTGACTGGACTCTCTCAGTAAGGGCCCAGATTTATGAAAAAATTCCTGTAAAATTCCTGTAAACCATTGCCCAAATGGCTGTGCAATATCTACACTTCTTATTAACTTAGGTCAGTTTGCAATCAGTAGATTTGTAATAATGAGTACAAGATGCTTTGCAAGTGTGGGCTAAGTACATTTCTCCCTCTCTCAGGATTTTTCATAGAGGTACACAGAGAGAAATGAAAGAAAAAGAAATTTATATTTCTACTCCTTATTTTTCCTATGTAAAATGTGTTTAGAGAATTATTTATCTAGAGTAAATACTTGATCAGATTCTAGTGAGGATTGTTTGAGCCTGATGGCCAATCCAATCCACCAATATCTAAACTCTCGAGACAGGGCCACAAGTTGTATAAAAATTAGAGATAGAAAAAGTAGTATATAGTTTTAGTATCTTCCTTTTTATATAGTATATTAATGTATTTTAACACAGTTATAATAAAGAAATCATTCAAATTCTAAATTAAATCAAACATCAAATATCTCAATGTAACTGCTGTTCAACAGGGGATATTTTGTTAAAAAAGCACTGCAGAAATAATTATTGATCAGCATTTCTATGAGTTTGGTTCAGGAATCAGGGTGGGATGGGCTGAGGAGCAGAAGAGCCCTTGGCTCTGTGTAAGGGCTGCTCAGTGATAAGAAAAAAAAAACAATCCTGAATTATCAACAGTTTCCAGTTCCAAAACACAGCCCCCACCAGCTGCTAAAATTTGATTTAGTGGCAAATCCAAATTAAAACAAATGGGGCTCATAGTTAACCCACCAGTTCATGACTGAGAATCCTTTTGCAGTCCTCTTTGATACCTGCAGTGAATCTGGCTCTTTGCTAAGGCAAATCAAAGTAAATTGCCAATTTTTTTTTTTTTTTTTTTTGCATGTCTCCACACATTTGCTCTCTTTAAATGCTTGGGGCCAACTTGGAGAAGAAACAATGAGGAAGAAAATTACTTGTTCCAGATGAAACTCCTGTCCTTGTGTACAATGAATGACATATAAAAGTCAGATCATGATTATGTATTTTATTTCTGCTGACAGAAATATTGGAAATAAGTTTTTAGTTTTCAAACTTCTGGCAATTTCTGTCTTTGTTTTTTATTTGTGTCTATAAATTGCTGTGGGTGGTATAAAAATGACAAATGGAGGAGGTAGCTGGTACTGTGTGAAGAACTGCAGCAAGAACTATACAGAAAGAGTGAATTTTCTGTTGAATTTTATTTATCAGTTTTAATCAAGGCTCTCTGAAAATGCAGTTCTTTGTCCAGTTCCCACTTAGCCACCTAAAAACTGTGATTAAGATGCACTGCTGAGATCAGACCTTGCACGAATTTTACTTTGAGGACTTAAAAATCTCATCACTCTGTCCTGCAGCTTCCTTAATAATGTGTTTTATGTTGTCTATTCTGGCATCCCAAAACCAGGCTGGCTTTTGGCAGTTGCAGTAATTAGCAGGTAGAGCAGCTCACTCAGCAAAAAAGTGGAAGGCTGCATAAACATTCATGAAGTATTGAAAGATTTTTGTCTTTTTTAATAAACTGCCAACCTTACTTTTAATGAAGATCGAAGAATATTGTAATTTTTCTACACATTAAATATTCTAAGATATTAACTAGCTCTGGGTCTGCAGTCGCTGCCATTAAATGTTTCAGACCAACTTGATGTGTATTAATTTGGACAAAGTGTATTCACAGAGCTTTGATTTTGAAGGTAAATTTAATACAGAGCCGACAACAAATCAATGCATAAGCATCAGTAGGATAAGCACAAAGAAAAACAATTAAGTTGTGCAGTTTAGAGAAAATTCTGGCTTTGAGTGTGAGTGGGAATTGAGAAAAGCTAATTTGCTTATTTGTTTTGCAGGAGCTCAGTTGTTTAAGGCTTTTAGATGGGCTGTAATTAAAACTGGTATTTCAGAGTCTTGTGCTGGTTCCTGCACTTGCTCTGCTCCCTTTGCTCTTCCCTGGAGAGAGCTCTGGGTGTGTTGTGTAGCGTGTGTAGAATGGTTTCACTTAGGTAGATGTAACATTGAAAGGTATCAAGTAGTTATTCTAATGATCAGCTTGTAGAAATTTGAACCAGGTTCTGTTTTAGGTCTGGATTGAGTCTAATAAATCTGAATGTAACAGAGAACCAGGACAGAACAGCTTATTCATTAATAGGCTGCTTTTAGACTTGAGCAGTTGAGACCCTGAATGTGCATTTAACCTCCCACACTTTGTGTGAGTCAGAAGTTTTTTACCATAATGTAATTTTTTTCTTTTTTTGCATAAAGTAATGATCTTCTCTTTCCCAGATGGGGAAATTGATATGAGTTTGGAGTCTGAGAGATGTGGATGAAATATCCACCTACCTGCTGAGCCTAACCTATATTTTAGTTTTGGGTTATAACACAGATATGGGAACAGAATGAGACATTCATCAGTAGTTTTGTAACCTTTCAGTTCTTTGACCTCTATTTCTCATGCTGCTGAATGCTGCTGTCACCTGTTATTAACAGACTGAAATGCAAAGGAATGTAAAGACTCAAATGTATAAAAAGAAGTAATTTTTCCACCCAGATTTCCATAATGCACCATAAAGTCCGGCAATTTAAAGGCTGAGAGTCAGCTTGGATATGGAAAAAGCAAAATAAAAAATTGAGCAGAAGTAAAATTCAGCTGTTAAGAAATGTTACACCATTGACTTCCACTGCATGATTATCCCCTCTTCATCCTCTCCTTATGTCACCATCCATGCTATTGATTGTATAGATAATTCCTCCAAAGATTTAGTGAATCGTGAAGCCAGGAGGCATCACATAAAATATTTTCTGTGTACTGCAGTACTGAACTTTGTGCTGCTCAGTGCCATCAGCTGCATTGATTAAATTGACCTGTTTCCACTTGAGAAAAGCCTTCAGATGCCTCAGCAGCGAGGCAGCCGTGGCCCAGCAGCAGCTGCCTGTCTGCAGGCCGAGGATGGCATCAATAATGCACAGGGAACCATCTCCAGGCTGAAGGAACAGTGGGGTTGGCATCACTTTTCCTACTGGACGTCACCCCAGCTGGCAGTGCCAGCAGCCCGGCACGGGACGCGCTTGGCAGCGCTTCGGGCATGGGACAACTCTGGGATTTCTGCCTCTTGTTCTTTCTAAAGCCTGCTTTAGAAAACACTGATGGAGTTTTCTTTTCTGCTGCTCGCAGAGGGTGACGAGACAGGAGTGATGGACAGCCTGCTGGAGGCCCTGCAGTCGGGAGCGGCTTTCAGGGACCGCAGGAAACGAACGCCGCGCGCGCCAGGTAAGGGAATTCCTGCCAGCTTCGGGCCCTGAGCAGGCTGGGCTTGTCTGGCACACACACAAACACTGCTTTGTGTCCAGTTTTCACTGGGCACCGCTGCCTGCTGCTGGGCACTGAGCTCCTGTGAAAGCCCAGCGCGGTCACACATTCCTAACCTGCAGCTCCAGGCTGCTGTGTGCTCTAAGGGCTCCTGTTGTCTTTGAAATGGCATTTAAACATCCCTGCACTAAGTGTGCTTAATCCTTACAGCTGTAAGTACAATTAATTCATTGCAGGTGGTGCCATGAGGAGTGTTAGCTCCTTTACAGGTAAGACTTTGGGTGTTGAGCTGATCATCATTTCCAAGCACTGCTCGTGGGTGTGTTCTGCTCTGGTAGGAACTTCCAGTGTTTGTAGTCCTAAAAGTAAAAATACATTAAGATAGCTTCATTTTCCCGAGGAAGACAATAGTATTGGACTGAACTTTGTCCACTTTACTGAGCAATTGCTTCCTCTGCAAAGCTGATTTTGAGAAAATTTGAGGAGTTAATCAGTGGCAGTGTTTCCTTCATTCACATCTCTGTTTATGGTATTCCAGTGGCACACACTTTGTGAAATGCATTTGCTCTGCTTTCCCTTTTCATCAAAGCTCATGGTAACTGTGTTTTGCAATTTTTCATTTGAAACATGTCTTAGAGTAAAAAATGCAGTCTTAAAAATCTACAGTTGAAGTTATTTGGCATAAAATCAAAAGCTTGGTTTGGATATGTTTGGCAGAAGAGAGTCATAAATAAGCCATGCTAATCCACCTGATCCTCAGTGAGCTGGGGTTAGGTTCATGTTGGCTGAGGAATTCTTTTAGAGGAACAGAAGAGTAAAGGCAAATTCTTTTACCCTCCTTAGTGGCAAAGGTAGTGCATAATTATTTTTAATTTGCCATATGTATGATCTTATGGGAAAAAAAAAATAGACTTGATTTGTTCATACTATGAAGTCAATTCTGCTACAGTTCCAGGATCATTCTTAATTCAGGGCTTGTTTCTGCTCTCAGATCAGACGTGAAAGAGCTCCTCGATCAAAATTTGGTTTTTTCCCTATCTTGAGAAGTATCATTATGAGAGATGGTTTCTCTCTATTGTGACTTGAGGAGACATTTGTCACCAAGTGGTAACAAAGCAAAGCTTCCCAGGGACCAGAGGAGATTGGACAAAATCTGCTGCAGCTGAGAAAGCCGAGAAGAGAATTGAACCTGGGTCAAAACCAGGGATTCCTCAGCAAAAATAGGGGACACAGCTAATTAAAATTCCCTTTGACTGATCTTCTGCTTTATGTAGTTACTTTGACGTCTGTGTTTGGAATTTCATTGAGTCAGGTGATATTCCAGTGGGGCCTGGCTTTTAAATTTAAGGAGCTGAGTGAGAAAAGGACTGGGTCTTCAATTCCAAACTCTGGCCAACTGTAAGGGTTCTGTAAGAGAAGGAAGCCATAAAGTAAAATTTCCAGGGGTAAGAATTGAGAATAGGATGCAGTAAATGTTAATCCTGATCAAATATCTCATTGCAACTTGCATGTAAATTTTCTCATGAGGTTTAGAAACATAGGTGACATCTAGTGAGAAACTTGTCTGCACACCAGAAGGTGCCTAAAAATGTGGCTGTGACATTTCTGAGCAGTGAACTACAGCATGAAAATCCTGGGACCACATTTACAACCTTCCACATCTCTCCTTCAAAAAAGGAGCAGTGACAGTTCCCTCTCTGGTGCCACTCTGTCCTGCCAGTGAGATTGGAGCAATTAATTCCATGCCTCTTGTGGTTCAGTGGAAGGAGGAAAAAAGGGAAATAAAAGTCCTGGGAAGGAGAGATTGGGGGTTTTCTGGGCTTGCTGGGACGTGTGGTTGTGACTGGCAGATGGAATAATTCTGTCTGTGGCAGGGAACAGTACAGGGGTTTTCATGGGAAAAAAATAAATACAGGTGTTGCTATTTCCAAAGTTAGACTTGTCCAGCAGAGTTTTGGTTTTGAACTTGTCTTGGTTACACATTATGTCTGAGAGGAAAATCCATTAATAGTTCTCTTCCTTTTTGGACACAGATCTCATTTTTTTCTGTGTCAGTTGTGGTTGTAGTTTAGCAAGGAGAAAAAACAACTTCTGCTTGCTTATTTTTTGTAGTTTTGTTAATTCTTTAAGGCGGCCCTTAAAGAAAGGCAAAAAAACCCATCCAAACCCCTAAAAAACCCACAAAGAAAATGCCCCCAGAACCACTGAGCACTACAGTAGGTTCACTTCTGTACACTTTTCATGTGTGTGCTCTACATCTGTCTTTTTCCAAACTTGCTTATTCTGTTTGCATCTTCTCGTGGTGAAAATTAAAACTGAGGAGTTTCACACCCTCACAGAGGCTGCAATCAGAAGGTCATGGAAATTGAGCTTTTGTTGTGTTTTCTTCCAGGAAATTTAACTCAGAAGGAGCAATCTATAGTGTCACTTCTAGTGGCATTTCTGATCAGTTTAGCTCAAACCCCACAACTTTGCAAATAAAAAAAAAAAAAAAACAAGCCAAAAAAACCCAACCTCTGTGTGTGTTCCCTGTGGCTTTAGATGAGTGGGCTGGGAGAGATTAATTAATTTGGATAACAGAGCTCCAATTACTACAAAGGGGTGTTATTCCACCTCTTCAATTTGCCTTTTTTACAGGGGTTGCTGCTGTACCTTGTAGAATATTTGTGCTTACATGGTCATGCCTTTAAAATAATTTCTTTCCAACTAATTTCCAGTCCTGGGCAAGAGGTGCAGAAGGGAAGAGAGGGATTGCTCAACATTGCAGTGTTCCTGCTGGGAAAAAATCAGACGGTGAAATGTACAGCCAGGTTCAGAAAAATAAAACCCATTTTAAATGTGTTTCACTGCATTCTGTTTGTTTGCTAAGGCTGGAAATGAAAAGCTACACTTTAATGGGCTGCATTACAACCCCAGATTTTTCCAGTAAAAATGGTTTTGTTATCAGGTCATGGAAGTAATAATAATAAATTCCTGCCCCCCTCCTCTGGTTTTACATTTCACTCCACTCCTGTGTGTTCTTGCTGCTGTAGATTTCTCAATGTGCAGGAACATTTTGTGGTTCCTCTCTCCTGAGCTCAGCACTCCACTTTATTGTTTCTAGCCACTGAATTTTAAGGAGAGAGATTTTCCTTTCAGTGGATTGCTTTGCTTAGAGAGGCTACAAAATAATAATTAGCAATCAGTTTCTAGAAATGTTGGTTCCTCTTCCAAAAATACACTTACATTTTGTAAGTTTGCTAATATTGCTGTAATAAAGAACAGTTTCAGGTGGCATTTATCACAGGGTGCTATTAAAATCTGCATCCAGCACTGCTGCTGCACAATAATCCCTGCCCTTTCTCCTGGCCCTGGGCTATGAAATTATTAAAAGAAGACCAATTCAGGAATAATTTTTTCTCTAAATTAGCTTAAGCAAATTTCTGCACAGAGTTAACTATTCTTACTAAGGTTCTTTCTATTAAGTTTTGAAGATTTTTGCCATGGAATTGTTTAACTTTTGCAAGAGGAAAAAGGACTTGTGGTAATAGAGTTGTTGCTATTTTTAGATGATTTTTTTTTTAAATTTTCATATGGCATTTAGACAATTTAATTTAAAATATGGGTTTAAGGATGTGGATGTTTGTCATTGCATCAGAATTCTAATAAAAGGTTATTGTTTTAGGAATATTGTGTCTTCTGCTTGGAGATACAGCTCTGCTTAAAGACTCACTTTTGCTAGTCTACCTTGCTAAAATAATTTTACCTTTGCACTGATTATAATAAATAAAATCTGGAGGATTAGTTTGGTTTCTGGGTGCACAATTCTCATTTACCTGAAGCACATTCAAATAAAAACCTTCAGTCAAAGCAAATTTGCTTTCCCGAAAGCATTGTCAGTCATTCTGGATGTGGCAGTTGTCTGAATAAGCTGGGTTTTGATGTGCTTGCAGCTGTGAATTGGTGAGAATATCATAAATGTTAAAATGCAAGGAGGTGGGAGGTGCACTGAATTTGTGCTCAATAAAATGCCTTTCAGAGGAACAGATCCTGTACATTAAAAACCTGTTATGAAGTTGGAAATATCTATTATGGGCCATAAAAAATCAGTCTTGAGTTTAGAAATCGGTTTGTATTTTAAACTTATTCAACTTTTCAAACATTTTTGCTTTTAGGAGCTGAGTTTTTAAAGGCATGTTTGCTATGCAGTTGTGTAATGGAGGATTTTTGCTTACAGTCAGGTGTTGTGGACTAATGGGACTCACACATGATCCAAGTGCTTCAAAACTCCCACTTCTGCAATAGCAAGAGCTAAACAAGATCTCCACTAATACATTTACTCATTTTGCTATCATGGCATTAGTGTAGATTTAAGTTTGCTTTTTATTTCTAAATATAAATATGGGCACCATTCCAATAGAATCTCAGCAAATTACCTGAGTCCTGAGAGCTCCATAAACAGTCCCAAAGCTGTTTAAAAATAGGTATTTGTGGTATAATCTATTTTTACTGTGTCTGCATTTGATCTTATGGCTTTTGTAATTAAAGAAGTAGTTGCATAATACATTTTTCTGGTGGCCTGGCATGAAAGAAACAGCTTTAATATGGGGAGATTTTACTTGGTGTCTCTGCCCATGACAGGGGGTTGGAAATAGAGGATTTTTAAGGTCCCTTGGGTCACACTATGACACGAAATAACTCACATACAGATGCCAGATGTAAAAGAGGGAAGAAAAGAACTAAAAAATAACTTTATTTTCTGACTCTGCTATATATAGAATAGCAAAAGTGACAGTGGATTGGAAGGTGAAACTGCCACCTCTCCAACCACACTGGTCAAATTAATAGTCTGTTAATTCTCTCTGCTTACAAAGAAGAATGCAAAACAATCGTTATTTATATGAACAGTGTGAGGAATTCAGCAAAAATACGTAAATATCAGAAGGCATAGAAAACTTTTCAAAGAACTTTCAAACTCTCAAAAGAACAAAACAACAGCCTTGCAGCCCAAACCTGAATTCTTTGTGTTTTCAGAGAAATTCTCCCTACGAGCAGGATGGAGGAGAAGGGGACAGAGAGGGACTGGAGAGGTTCAGGTTGGGTGTTCCAGGTTTTTGGGGGGACACCAAATTCCCTGGAGCAGGCAAGGAGTGAAGAGGCTCCAGCAACACCTCAGGACCACAGGCTGGGTGGACAGAAAGACAGAAATTCAGGAATTCTGTCTATTTGCACAACTGCTTTCACCTCTGTAGGTGTTACCCATCTCTGCAGATGGATTTGTTGTCTTTAAAATCGATTTTCTGCTCTTGGCATGCAGGGATTGTTCACATGTTGACCTAGAGCATGCCAAGTGTTTATAAATGTTTGGGGAGCTCCACAGACACAGAGAAATGGGATTGTGAGCTCTGGGCTTTGTATCCATCGTGCTGCTTCCTCTGAACCTGAGCTGCTATTTGTTGTATTCTTATTTCCCAATACAAGAGTTTTTCCTGAACTAATGAAAATGTGCCATCAGGTGGCAAAGCCACGTGCATTTTCTGCCAAATGTCCTTCAGAAAGTTATTGTGCTGTGTAATTGTAACTAATTACCTCAGTTTGTTGTTCATCCAAAGCATTTAATTACTCACCCAGGCTGGGGAGAGTTCTGTACCCCTTGCTTTTGTTAGTGTGCTTCAGAGTGCATTCAGTGCACTGGGAAAAGTTTTCCCTGTGAAGTTTCAGAGTATTTCCCGAGTTTCAGCACTTTTAAAAATCAGCACTGGTGTTACTTTACTCATTGAATTGCCCTAAGATCCAAAAATAGGAAATTCTAATTTTTTGTGCTTTTTGAAGTAAAAACCCACTGTCCAGGAGTGATGATGGGAGTTCCATGGGAGCACTGGGGATTCTTCATGTGCAGCTTGTACCAGAGAACATCTGAGCTTCAGAGATGTGCAGAACTGTGCCAGGTGCTCCAGCCTTGATACGGAGTGTTGTTTTTCATTTTAAATTTCCATACATTTATTTATTTATATTTATTTCTTTACAGTTGTTTGTGTCTGTTTGGTCACAGGACTCTGCAGGAACCCAGAGCAGCCCTGGAGTCACACTCAGTGTTTGTTGTGGAGCTCCTTTCTCTTAGGGCTGATCTGGCACAGCTGCCTCTGAACCTCCTAAAAGCCCTTAGAAATCCAAAAACCATTTTGATGGTCTTGTGTTGTGAAATAGATTTATAGAAATAAAACAAAGCTTTTCTGAGAACCAGGGGATTCCTCCCAGTAAGCAGATTTGTGAGTGCTCCAGGTGGAGGCTGCCAAGGTCACAGAGCAGGATTTTGTACAAGTTGGAAAGCCCTCACTATTCTGAATTTATTTATTTTTTAATTCACACTGAATCTGAAAACTGTTCTATTTTAATGAGCTATGTCCTGCTAGATGGGAAGGCCTCCATTTCCAGAGATTGATAGCTGAGTTCTGGCTGCATCTTTATGCAGTAGCTGAAGTTAGAGGAACTTCTTTCACATGCACAGAAAGGATATTCATGCATTCATTTACCAACTACATGAGTAGTAATGAACGATATGCAAGGCTAACTTAATTTGCATTTGGCCATTTGAATTTTCTTTGTCAGTGCTGACAGTGTTATCATGCAATTATTGTGAAACACTTCTATTTGAAAAATTTTCTCCCACAGTACTGTTTACTGAGGTAAAGCACATTGGCTTTAATATTTTAATATATATACATAATGGATGGAAAGGGAAGAGATGAAAATCACTGTTGCAGTGTATGACTTGGGAGGGGATTAATTGAAGTGACATTAGGTCCAAATGGTTATTGTGTAGATAGGGAGGATTTCTGTTCCATCCTGCTCAGGGCACACGGGGTAGAATTGAGTCCCCCCAGCCTCAGCACGGAGCCACTGGCCCAGAGTTCTTAATTGTGGCTTAATTGTGTCATCTGAGCTGTAAGAACGTCATTAGTTTCCCCCTGCAAAGGCAGTATTTACCCTGTGGGTTATGATGTAACAGAGCAAACCATGAGACTTCTCATTTCCTTGTGGCATTAGCAGGAGAAAATAAGAAAAAACCCCAAAATAACAATGCTCAGTTACAGAGTACTGATATCTGTTGTATTAATACAGATATCATCTTCAGCAGTTATGTCGTTCTGTGAGAGGCCAGCATTGCAGTTGCCTCAAGTACTTTTATTTTCCTGATGTTTGTAGTTTCATAATCATCATAATTTGTTTTCCTGATGTTTTAGTTTCATAATTTTTAGTTTCATGATAAATACATTGTTTTTCCTGATGTTTTTAGTTTCATGTCTTTCTAAGAGGATAAGCTAAAGATCCAGCCCAGGTGTGCAGTGGCAGAGGGACAGGTTGAGGCCAGCAGCGTTTTTGGAGCAGCTCTGCAGAGGAGGACACCACGTGTGGGATGGACAGTGCAACCTGAATTCTGTGCTTAAACCTCTGCTGGTATTGTGGTGCTCATTACAGGTGTGCTACCCAAAAGCAGAGTTTTGTCTTTACAGCTTATTACAAGTGGAAAATGTTACCAATTTTGTGTTATAGATTTTGTGATACCACCTCGTCTTCAATTGGATTGCTTTTATGCTTTTAGGAATTTGGGAGAAGATCATTTCAGGGAGCAGGTTTGTGTATTGGCAGGTTGTTGGCCTGTTTTATCTGTAATTTTTTAATTTTTTGCATTTTTCTCCAAAGCATCTCTGGCCATTTATTCACACTATGTTGGGCTTAGCAGACTGCAGGCCTGACTTTGCATAGCAGTGCACTTTGTCAGGAGCATTCGCTGCTGAGCTGAGGCCAGCTGGGATTTCAGGAGCTGTGTGATGATGCCTTGGCAAGGCTGAGCTAGAACAGAGAATGGGCAGAGTCACAGAATAAAGCAGGGATTTATTAAATTTATCTCCTCCATGGATCCACCTTGGGCAGCACAAGAGCCCAGCCAGGGCTGCACCCAAATGACCCAAAATGGCCCCAAAATGCACGAGCGCTCCCGGGGGCTCTCCCTGGGATCAGTTCTGCTCCATTGGCACCTTGGAGTTCATTGTCCCATTCCAGCTTTAGCCCAGGCAGTCCCACCCTGCTTGTTTTTCTCTCTCCAGCCCACGGGGTTTGTGCTCCTGGGCTGAGATTTGGATCATTTGTCCTTGGTGCCCAGCTGGAGCAGGAATTGTTTTGTCTCTGCTCTGTGAACAGAGCTCAGCATCCCCTGATATGGAGCTCAGACCCACAGACTAAATCAGCACAGAACCTGAAAAATAGAAAAGCTAAACCTGAGGCATCATTGAGACCTGGTCAATCATCATTTCAAACCCAATTTCCTGTCAGTATTTCCATTGCATTTCTGAAACTGCAGCACAGGTGGTTCATCTAATTATTGCACATTATTGCCTCAACATAATGTAGCTGAGCTGGTACATTTGTAATGTATGTAGCTCCAAAATTGCTCTCACATCCTGAGCACTATCCATGCTGGTTAATTGTAGGACATTTGCACTGCTAGGTTGGTTCAGTTTCAATGCTGTTATATTTTAAAGGGTCCTGCAATTAGCGTGAAGTTATTTTTAATGATGACTAAAACCAGATGTGAGATAATGATGATGTGCATTAATAATAATTCCAATAGTTCTGTATTTTAGAGTAACTAGTTTCAAATTCCAGAATTGGTTTTATTCTGTAAAAAACAGACACCAACCTTAAAAGAGTTGGTTTTATTTTGCCATCCTCAAAACACAGTGCAGAAGTGAACCTTTGATATGGTTTGTTGATCTTCTCAGTAGAAGATCTCTGCATGTTACACAGCTGATTTCTCTTTTGGAGGAAAAAGTGATATAATAGGCTTTGATATAAGGTTTTGTAAGAACATTATCACTAATATATCTATTAGTGTGCGCATTAGCTCATCTCCTTTACCCTCTCATGAAAGTATATAATGTCATAATATTGTTATTTAAAAACTATATACACACTGTATAGTGCTTTCCAGATGGAGGCTAAAAATAACAAAGATACTAGAGTTCTTCCTTAATCCACATTATATTCACTTCTCATCTTCTCTGTGATTTCTGTATTTTTTCCTTCCATTTCTTGTTGCATTGGCTATTTCTTCTGTTGGTGAAGATTCTATTTAAATAATTATAAGGAGAGTATATAAAATTTTACAATGCTGTCTATGTGTCTGTAATTCCATGAATATATTACTGGAGTGGAATGTCAGCCTTCCTGCATTTTCCCCTACAAATTTAAATTACAAATTAAAATAGACATACCACACTGAAATGGGGAAAATGTTCAGTCATTGTGAGGATGATTTTTTTTCATTTTAAAGGGAACAGGTTTCTAAAATAACATAATAGGAAAAAAAAGCCATTATTGCCAGCATTCCCTCAGGAGAGGGAGAAATAATTCAGCTTGGAGGGCCACAGCATTTCCAGTTCTGTGATCAGGTTGCATTGTCAGCTCAGCTGGCTTTAGGCTCTGTAAGAATTATGTCCAAAGCAGAATGGGATGGGGACCCAAAAGGTCCCTCTGACTTCACAGAGCAGAATTTGAGTCTGAGAACAGCAGCAAATTCCATCATTACTGGGAGCTGATTAAAATCCAGCAAGGTGTTCAATCAACAATTTGAAAATTATTTTCTTACGAAAGAAACAAAACAAGACAAACCACCCAAAAAAAAGAAAATAAAAAAGCTACCAAAAAACGCCAGAAGAAGAAAAACCGCCTGGATCTGATGATTCACTCCTGAAAAAAATATATTATCATCCCTGTCAGACATTGCAAAGATGACTGGCAATTTCTTTCCTTGTGAAATCTGTTCATTACAAGATGGTTTTGACAAAAGTTTATTTTATTTTTAAATCTACTTTACCAGAGTGTAAACCTTAAAGGGAGATTTACTGGAAGTTTCAATTTTTTCTCCTAATGGATAACCACTCAGAAGGAAGGTGGAATGATGGTTATGGAGTCTTCTGAATATTTACTTCCTGTTGAAATAGTAGAGACACTATTACTGAGGAACAGACATTTCAAAGAAAGATCTCTCTTTGCTGAAGGCAATCATCATTTTGTTTTAAAGGAGCAGCTCATCATCTCAGTGAACAGATATGAATCCATTTCTGAGTTGTCCTTGAACTTCTCAGGAAAACCCCTTGAAATGTTGTTAAAGAACCAGGAAGGTCTGCAGCACCGAGGGGGGAGGATTTGGGGAGTGGAGGAACCTTTGTAAAGCACATTTAGCAGTTTGCTGGAATTGCATTTGTGCCAAACCCTTGTGGCTGGGGCAGCAGTGAAAGATGGAGCACCCAGAGACCGAGCAAGGCTGTGCAACACAAAGCCTGTTCTGGAGGAATTGTGCAGGGAGGGTGGGGAATGAATCTGTAGGGAATTTTAGGGACAGTTTGTAGGTTTGATGTGGTTTTTTTGTAGTTGTTCACTTACTAATTTTTGAGAGTATTTAATTTTTTCTGTTTGAGGTTATTGATCTATTTAAATGGTCTGATTGGTTTTTTATGATAACTTTAGAGTGGTAGGTGTTGATGTGGTATCTGTCAAAAGCTGATTTTTATCTTCATTTTTTATTGGGATAACACATCCTTCATACTGTGATGGCTTTCTGTACTATGAAGAGACAGATGGTTGTTGGTTTTCTTTTGGGAGAGGGAATTATTACATCTCTATTATAACATCTTCATTTATTACATCTGTATTATCTCACACTTCACATAAAACTAAAAACAGAATAAAGATTTTTAAAAACCCTCTCAGTTTCCCCATCTGTGGGTCAGAAAAAGGCTTTATCCAACAAGAGGTGCTGTCCAAGGTCTGCAAACTGCAGTTCCATGCAGACTGAGCTGGAGGGTGAAATTAAATTGTGGGAGAACAAAAGCTTTAGGAAAGGCCAGGCTGGCCCTGCCTCCTGTGTGCCCACATTTTGCAAAACCTCAGCATTAAATGCCCACTGAGAGCTCTCTGTTTTGCCATGTGAGAGCTGTGCCCACCTGCACAGAGCTGGGGGACATCCTCCAGGAAGGTTCAGTGCTCCAGCAAAGGATTTAATGGTCCAGTATTCCATTTATAAAATATAAACTTCCTAAAACACCTTTTTTTTAACTTGCAAGTGAACAAAAGGCAGTTTAATCTCAATAGAAGCCTCTGAATACAGGAAAGACAAATAGGAGCTGCAGCTATTAACAGGTTGCATTTAATATGGAAACAACACTTGTAGGAATGTTTAGAACTCAATTATTTGATTGTAAAAGCAGTGGCACATAGGGACCGAGTGTGAACAGAAGTTCTGTTTAAAAAAAGAAAAATCTTTTATCTGGAAATCAAATTAACAGCTGGTGTTAATGTGTACAGATTGCATCAGGAATTGAAATGCAGAGAGGGCTCTGGTTTCTCTTCCCAAAACCAGGCTGAGCACCACCCATTCCAGCAAGAACACGCTCACACTGCTGCAGACTGGAAGATAAACGTGCTTTTGTTCCTTCAACATGATCTTTTTTTTTTGTTTGTTTTCTAACAGTCTTTTTGAAATCATAATTTTAGATTAATTTTTTACCAGATTTTCCTTACAGATATGAATGTCTTTATAATGGACTTATCTTCAAGTGCAATTCTTATTCCCTAGCATTTTTTCCTTTATTTTAAACATGATATAAAATACAGAAGCAATGGAAAATATGATGTTTATGGGACTGTGTAGCCTTTTGATTTCCACTTTCAACTC